TCCCCCAAAACCCAAACCCTGCTAATGTTTATCATTTGCCCAACAGGCTCGACAGATTCCTGCTTCCTCTCCTGCGCCTCCTCCTCGGCTTTAAAGCCCCCTCGTTGCTAAGTAGCAACCTCCCCTGTACTGTAATGGGCTGATTGTGTATTCTGTTCAGCGCTGGATCTTATTTTTGTATGCAAGGCAAAGTGTTTTGATGGAAGACGATTGCAGGAGTGTCTGGAGGCTGTTTTGGAGTTTTATAGGCCGTACAGTACACCGTGTGCCTTCTGAAACGGAACACAGGCTGTTGAATTTTGGATAGGGTTTGTCATTTTTTCCCCTCTGAGCTCAAGCTGTCGGAGAGAACATTACTTCGAGGGTGGAGGAAGGAGGGTTATGCAATGATTTTGCTTCCCTACCCCCAAGTTGTTGTTTTTTCCCCCAGGGGGTGCTAAACCAAAAATAATACATGGACCTGAAATAGATTTTAATTCCACTTCCCTCTTGGTTTTGTCTCTCTCCGTCCCCGTCCCCCCTTGCTATGGTTGTGATCCTGTGAAACACAACAGTTGTGTTTTACATGGAAGCTGGTCCCAGCTTTGACGTTTGGGCTGTCTTCATTCCTTGTCTTAAGTGCCTGCAACTCCAAAGGCTGCTCTTCTTCCTTTCTTACATACCTTCACCTTTTCCCATCCCATTTTGTGGGGGGTTAGTTTGTTGAAAGATGCTGTGTGTGTATTTGTAGGTGTATGCACATGCAACTCACACTCTTGTTAGTCAGCCTGAAGGAAATCAAGAGGCAGAATTGATGTCTCCGCCGCATGCCGAACAAGCTCTCAACCTCCCTCCCTGGTTGCTTGTAGAGAGGAAGGAAGAGAGGATGAGAGTTAGAAGCCATATTATCAGTGACAACTCAGTGCTCATCTTTCATGGAAACATGTGTAACTCCATCAGAATAACGTTGAAGCACAGCATCCCATGGGACAAAGCTGCTCCAGAGAAGAACCATAGGGCTTGACCATCCAAAGTCCAGGGTCTAATGGCCAGGAAAGCCCTGACTCTGATCTCCTTTGTAGCATGAGGTCACCAAGAGAAGATGGGTTTCCATCTCTCATCTTCAGCCTCCATCCCTCCCAAGGTAGCAATTCTGAAAACATTCAGGGGTAGCAAAGTAGCAAATTCAAACAAAATTTTGGCCAAGTAGCAAATTCAAACAAAAATCCACCAAATAGTGATGCCTTTATTGGCCAACCAAAATGCGCAAGAGACTTGTTGCAAGCTTTTGAAGCTTCATGGGCTTCTTCTTCTCCATCAGGCAAGATGTTAAAAACCAAACAGGAGAAAAACAATTGGAGATGTTAGTCAGATGCCTACATGTTGCTTCAGTCTTTCCTTAAGTTGGTAGTACATGGTGAGGAGGATATCTTTTGCACGTAGGCTCCTCTTCCTTCTGGCCATGTAGCTATAGAGAGATTTCCAAAGTCCAGGAAAGGTGGCAATTTAGTTAGCACTAGTTTAAATGTTCAAAGCAATTACCAGGGTGCCACTCAGTTGTGTCACTAAGGGGGTGCAGGAGGTGTGGATCACACTGGGTGACACCATCTGAAGGCAAAGAGATCTTGTAGCCCCTTTGAGACTGAGTGAAAGAAAGAAATGGGGAGCATGAGCTTTCATAGATTTGAGTCTACTTCCCCAGATGCATGTGCTCTACACCCCCTGCACCCCCTTAGTGATGCCACTGAGTGGCACCTTGGCAATTGCTTTGAACGTTATACGTACAAGTTTTAAGACTAACTCTTGATTGGGATGCTGTTGGTTAGTCTCAACTAGAGCTGATTTGTTAAATCAGTTGTTGAATGGTGAGTCAATGATCTACTCTAGTTGGGAGTTAATGGCACAATTTAGGCCTTTATGTTCTTGGCATTCAGAAGTAACTAGAATAGTTTAAATGCTTTAAGAAAATGACCTGTGGTACGAGCACAACTTGGATATAATAACTTTTTTGTACAAAATATCTCTGAATCTCCAGGCCAGTGGAGGGTTCTACAACTTGTAGCTCAAAAAAGGGACTTTTCCAATCTCTGAGCACAAAGCACCCCTAGATAACATGGCTACGCTTCAATAACTATAAAAGTAACTAGAACACTTACCATTAGTCCACAAAAGGAGTGAGGTTATCACTCATTATGCTACCATCGTAATGTATCTTTGTGATGCTTTTGTTCACCACAAGTAACTTGTTGTTTTTAATTAATTGCTTCTATGTTCTAGATACTGGAGTAGTCCAGAGTGTTTTGGATGCCTAATCTTAGGCAAGAGAGCCAGCATGGTGTAGTGGTTTGAGCATTGGACTATGACTCTGGAGACCAGGGTTCAAATCCAGGCTCAGCCATATAAACCTACTAGGAGGCCTTAAGTAAGTCATACTGTCTCT